GTCCCTTTCAAACATTTAATAATGAAGCTTTTTATGAACATTTGAGAAGGAGTCACCGCATCGAGGGTAGTAGATTTAAATGTGCTAAATGTGATTTTCGTGTTGATTGCCAAAATTGGGACCCCATCATAGAACATATAAAGATGCATGTGCTTAATATACATATTTGTTGTGTGTGCTCTTATTACCATCATGATCGCCAAAAACTTTTCGAACATCTAAAGCAAGAGCATCTATACAGAGATGTTCCGATCGTGACCATAATACGCTCGACAGAGTGCGTCCAAATATCAATAGCCATCGTATTTGCACAGCTGAGGAAAACCTTTTCGAGTACTAAAAGCTGCTTCTTTTGCCCTGAAAACGCTGCCAATTCGTGGGAAACATATGCATCTCATTTGAAGAAGGACCACTTTATTACACTGCAATATTTTTGTGAAATTTGTGATGAGTCACTTCAACTAACTGAATGTGATGATCATTTCAGCAAACATAATCCAACTACAGCGCTGAGAATACGATGTCAATTCGCTACCAATAATCACTTGTACATAGATACAGTAAAACCTTTGAAGCTGCGTATAGAATCCTGCGATGGGCCCAATTTCGACCAAAACCAACCTATTGGCGTATATAAAAACATCGTAAAGCAAGAACCATGCGATAATGAATCAGATAGCGATGTTGAATTCATAAATGATGAAGATATTGTCATTGCTAATGATGCAAAATTGTCTGAAGCTCAGCAAAGTCGTAAAGTTATTCGATGTGTGAACCTTAAAAACCTACAAAATCAACCGCCGGATGATACCAACGTTTCTCAAAGGCCAATTCTTCCCCAACCTGAGTTGATAATGCACCCTCAAGGATTTTCACAACCACCACTTCCAGCTCCAGAAACACAAATATGCCCCCAGCTGTTGTCGCCCACATCATCGAACAGCACTTCAACAGCTTCAAATACTGCAGTATTATCGCCGCGGATAGCAATACAAAGCTACAATCCAAATTTTACTGGTAATTGCAATGTAAGGCCGGTGAAAATTTTCATAAGGCCTAATACTACCAACATGGCAATGGGCGCGTTAGGTAGTTCAAGCTAAAGTTGTGCTATGTAGAAGAGGATTTTAATTTTTTAATTTACATATATATTTTTTCAGGTAACCCATGGAATAGCAATTTCCAATTCCAGAGATAAAATATAAGCATTTTCTTTAATCTTTTAATCTTTTATTTTTACAAACCACATACAAATAATTTTATTTACTCCATTAACACTATAAGGTGCCTTTGAACAATTTTAATTATTATTTAGTGAAAATCCAAAGAGCTGTAAATGATTTATATATATTACACTATTAATATTATTATAATCAATATTAATGTTAATTAAATTTCACTAAAATAATCGCTCAAAAAATTATCATACACCCAAAAAACTCGTTCTTTAATAAGAAATAGCGCTTGTGATGATATTCCGTCGCACTAAAAATTATAGCTCTCATTAGTGGAATTCGCGCTACTGCTAGCAACAACAAATCACACGCTCATACAGTTACAATTACACATCATACAACGAATACACAGAAGAGCGAATTCTCCTATTATATCTGCATATGAATAAAAATAGCAAGTATTTTACGATTAAGTTGTACAATGGAAAATAAAATAGACGTGTATTTTATTTTTTTACGTATAATGTAAAGCTAGTAGTATAAGTTTGTTGAATTTTTATATTTCCACAATATGGCTTTTTTATTTATTTCACATTTATTTTTTTAAAGGCTTCAATGAAGTTTTGTGAATGTAAATATGTACATACTACAAGAAATGGTGTAAGTTTTTGTCTTCAAAAATATTGAATAAATAAGCATACCAAATATTTTCTTGAATAAACTCCTGGAATCTCAATACTTAAGCTCAAGTTTGACTCGTGTAGGAATTGTGCACTACGTCAGGTTTGTTTGATTGCAATTACCACAAAAGTCGTAAGTTCGGGAGAAACGGAACCTAATAAATATACCGTTTTTGTTAATTTCTGAAAACTCATGTAATTATTCTCCAATTTAAAAAATTTTTACGTCGTTTTTAGTGAAACTTGAGATTGGTGCAACGGATACCGAGATACACACACTTAAACACAAGGAGGCGGTGCCACATCCATCTATTCACAATTTAATAAAATTTAAACTTCTTGCGAAAATGGTACTCGGTATCAATTTTTAGCAATTCTTTACTGAAATATCGCATTTTTAATTTTTCAAAAATACCGCTTTATGGAAGATAGACGTGGTTTTAAATGAAATACATCTATTTTCAATACAAACCAAGCTTTAGACCTGAGATATCTCAATTATGACTCGAATTATCCTGTGCATTTTGTTGTTGTCGTTGGAGCAGCATACAAGTTCCCCAAAGGGGTTTTGGGGAGTGTTGCTGGAGTGACAGTCTTTGGCCAGATATAAATCTGGGTTGTTACGGTTACGTAGACCCGACTGTCGTGGGAACGCTGTGCAATTTGTTAAAGTCTGTGCTATCATGTAATGGTTCTTGACATATACAGGCAGGTTTTACTGATAGTAATAAATAAAAATAGATTGCCGCTTACACACATGTATGTGAGTGTTTGGCCAAGCTTCTCCTCCGATTTGTGGCGTGCGCCTTGATGTTGTCACACAAAGGGGAGGGGCCTACAGTTTTACGCCCACTTCGAACGGCGATTTTATTTTTATGAGAAGCTGCTTTTCATGGCAGAAATACACTCGGAGGTTTGCCATTGCCTGTCGACGGGCGACCTTCTCTTCTTCTTTTTTGGTGCTGTAATCGCCTAAGCGATTTTGGCCGAGTTCAACAAAGCACACCAGTCGTTTCTCCTCTGTGCCAACTGACGCCAATTGGAAACGCCAAGTGAAGCCAAGTCCTTCTCCACCTGATCTTTCCATCGCAGTGGGGGCCTCCCTCTTCCTCTGCTACCACCAGCGGGTTCCGAGTTGAATACTTTCAGAGCTGGAGCGTCGGTGTCCATTCGAATGACATGACCAAGCCAGCGGATCCGCTGTATTTTAATTCGCTGAACTATGTTCATATCGTTGTAAAGCTCATACAGCTCATCGTTCCATCGTCTGCGGTACTCGCCGTCGCCAACGCGTAAAGGCCCGTAAATCTTCCGCAAAATCTTTCTCTCAAACACTCCAAGAGCCGCCTCATCGGATGTTGTCATTGTCCATGCTTCTGCGCCATATACCAGCACGGGCATGGTGAGTGACTTATAGAGCGTGGTTTTCGTACGTCGAGAGAGGACTTTACTCCTGAATTGCCTACTCAGTCCAAAGTAGCAGTTGTTGGCAAGAGTGATTCTGCGTTGGATTTCAATGCTGACATTATTATCGGTGTTAATGCTGGTTCCCAAGTAAACTAAATTCTCTACTTTCTCGAAATTGTAACTGTCAACAGTGACGTGGGTGCCAAGGCGCGAATGTGCTGACTGTTTGTTTGATGACAGGAGATACTTCGTCTTGTCCTCGTTTACCACCAGCCCCATTCGATTTGCTTCCCTATCCAACTTGGAAAAGGCAGAACAGACTTCGCGGTTTTTTTACCGATGATGTCGATGTCATCGGCATAAGCCAGCAATTGCACGCGCTTGTAGTAAATTATTCCTGAGCGGTTCAGTTCTGCAGCTCTTATTAGTTTCTCCAACATCAGATTAAAGAAGTCACATGAAAGGGAGTCGCCCTGTTTGAAACCCCGTTTTGTGGCGAACGGCTCGGAGAGGTCTTTCCCAATTCTGACGGAGCTGGTGGTATTGCTCAACGTCATTTTACACAGCCGTATGAGTTTTGAGGGGATGCCAAATTCAGACATAGCGGCGTATAGGCAACTCCTTTTAGTGCTGTCAAAAGCGGCTTTAAAGTCGACAAATAGGTGGTGAGTGTCGATCCTTTTCTCGCGGGTCTTTTCCAAGATTTGGCGTATTGTGAATACCAGGTCTATGGTGGATTTGCCAGGTCTAAAGCCACACTGATAAGGCCCAATCAGTTCATTGGCGGTGAGCTTCAGTCTTTCACACAATACGCTCGATAAGACCTTGTAACCTATGCTTAGAAGGCTGATCCCGCGGTAGTTGGCGCGAATGGCGGGGTTACCTTTCTTGTGGATTGGGCAGAGCACACTGAATTCCAGTCGTCGGGCATGCGTTCATCTGACCATATTCTGCACAAGAGTTGATGCATGCACCTTATCAACTCCTCGCCGCCGTACTTGAATAGCTCAGCTGGCAGGCTGTCAGCTCCAGCGGCTTTGTTGTTTTTCAGCCGCGTTATTGCTATGCGTACCCCGTCATAGTCAGACAGTGGAACGTCGACTCCGTCATCATCGACTGCGGGCTCGGGTTCTTCTTCTTCACAACTTTCCGTGCTGCAACCATTTAGTAGAAGTGTTCCCTCCATAATTTAAGTACGCTCTGGACATCAGTTACTAGGTCGCCATTATTGTTCTTACAGGAGTGCGCCCCGGTCTTTAAACCTTCCGTAAGTCGCCTAACTCTCTGGTAAAATTTTCGGGCATTCCTCCTGTCGGCCAGCATTTCAAGCTCTTCGCACTCACGTATTTCGGCCTCTCTTCTTATTGCGACAAATACGTCTCGCTTCCCTCTTCAGATCCCACATAGCGCGCGTTGCGCCCGATCGCAGCGTGGCCCTGTAGGCGGCATCTTTTTTCTCTGCAGCTTCCTGACACTCCTCATCGTACCAGTTGTTCTTTCGGGCTCGCTGAAATCCGACTACTTCTTCGGCGGCGGTACTTAATGAGCTGAAAATGTGGTTCCGCTGCTCGCATATGTCGGTTTGTTGAAGAGTGCTCTCTGAGAGCAGGTGTGAGAGTCGAGTAGCGAAAGCGCGGGCTGTCTGTTGTGATTGCAGCTTTTCGATGTTAAGCTTTCCTTGCATATTTGGGCGCACCTTTTTTGCTGCACAGAGGCGGGTGCGTATCTTGGCTGCAACAAGATAGTGGTCCGAGTCGATGTTTGGGCCTCGAAGTGTGCGTACGTCTAAAACACTGGAAGCGTGCCTTCCGTCTATCACAACATGATCGATTTGGTTTCTCGTTTCTCGATCCGGAGACAGCCAGCTTGATGGATCTTTTTATACTTGAAACTAGTACTGCATACTACCATGTTTCGGGCCCCGGCGAAGTCGATCAGCATCAATCCGTTGTCGGACGTTTCGTCGTGGAGGCTGAATTTTCCGACGGTGGTTCCAAAGATCTCTTCCTTGCCACCTTGGCATTGAAGTCGCCAAGTACGATTTTGATATCATGACGGGGGCAGCGCTCGTACGTGCGCTCCAAGCGCTTATAGAAGAGATCCTTGGATGCCTCATCCTTCTTTTCCGTCGGGGCATGGGCGCAGAGATGAGCGAGATGTTGAAGAATCTCGCTTTGATGCGGATTGTGGCTAGACGCTCGTCCACCGGGGTGAACGACAGTACTCGGCAACACAGTCTCTCTCCCACCACAAATCCAACTCCGAATTTGCGCTCCTTTAAAAGGCAGCTGTAGTAGACCCCAGACATTGTTTGCCTTGCCCCGTCCAACGCATTTCTTGGATGGCGGTGATGTCAGCTTTTGTCCTTACGAGAACATCAACCAGCCGGGCAGAGGCACCTTCCCCATTAAGGGTCCGGACATTCCAGGTGCATGCCCTCAAATCGTAGTCCTTTAAACGTTTGCCGTGGTCGTCATCACGTTTGCCGTGGTCGTCCCTTTCAAACATTTAATAATGAAGCTTTTTATGAACATTTGAGA